TGCTGCTGCTGCTGCTGCTGCTGCTGCTGCGGGGGGGGAGGACACTGCTGAGGGGAGCGCAGCAACAGCCACTGCAGCAGCAGCAGGCAGCAGCGCGGAAGGCGCCACTGACACAAAAGCGGAGAGGGCAGCAGCAAAACTCGAGAAACTGAAAGCGGTTAGTCTTTGCTGCTATTATTGCTGCTGCTGCTGGTGCTATTATTCCTGCTGCTGCTGCTGCTATTGTTGCTGCTGCTGCTGCTGTTGTTCAGGCAGCAGGTAGCATTTAGAGACACACTTTGCTGCTGCGCCCTTGTCTACGCTCATCTTGCTGCTGCTGCTTCTGCTAATGCTGCTGCTACTTTCTGCTGCTGCTGCTGCTGCTGCTGCAGTTTCAAAGAAACATTTGCTTAAGGGGACGGAAGCTCAAGGGCTTTGACCAACCGAGAAATCGTGAGAAACGACTAAGGCAGCAGCAGCAGCAGCAGCAGCACAATCAGCAGCATAATCAGCAGCAGCAGCAGTAGTAGTAGTAGCAGCAGCAGCAGCAGCAGCATAAAGAGCAGCAGCAGCAGCAGCAAGCGACTAGCGCCACCTCATCTTTCGGCGCTGCTGCTGCTCAAACGCTGCCTTTCCTTTCACCTCCTTTTATCTTTTAAATTGAATTTAATTAATTTAATTAATTTTAATTTAATTAATTTAATTAATGTAAATTATTAATTTATTATTTAATTTCTTTTGTTCAGCAATGGACATTTGCTCCATGAACGAGTCGAAGCTGCTGCGGCTTGCCAAGCAGTCGCCTCTCGAGCTGTACGTACACCCCAGCAGCAGCAGCGGCAGCAGCAGCAGCAGCAGCAGCAGCAGCAGCAAAAACTACATTTCAAACACCATTCCATCTCCCTTTTTTTTTCCTTTCCCGACTTCTCCCACTTCCTCAATTTTGATCCATTTTAACCCTTTTTAATGAATTTGAATCGTTTTTGATCATTTTTAATCATTTTAAATCCATTTTTGATCAAATTTAATCATTTTTGATCCATTTTTTCTGCTTTTTTCTCCATTGGACTCTGAAAAAGGAAAGCAAAGTGGATTTGGGAAAAGGCGGCGTTGAAAATGCTTTTTTTCCTCTTCAGGGGTTTGTTTCACCAGCAGCACTTGTCGCGGGTTTACCCCGCAGGCACTCGTTTGTCTTCGTCGAATTTCAATCCAACAACTTCTTGGAATTTCGGCTGCCAAATTGTGGCTCTGAACCTGCAGGGTTTCAACTTGGCCACCATGCTCAACCACGGCAGGCCCGCAAACCCTAAACCCTTTTTTAGGGTTTACGCGCCTGCCGGGCGGCCTGGGGGCGCAGAAACCCTTTTTTAGGGTTCACGCGCCACCCGCCAGCGCCTCCCCGCACTCACAACACCCTGCGCTCTCCCGCTCTTAATTAGGGTTTACGGGGTTCACTAGGGTTTAGGGAGTCAATGAATTAGAGTTTGAAGGGTTTAGTTAGGGTTTAGGGGATCGAATTAGGGTTTAGGGAGTGAACGAATTAGGGTTTGAAGGGTTTAATTAGGGTTTAGGGCGTGGAATTAGGGTTTACGGGATGGAATTAGGGTTTAAAGAGGTCTTAAGGGTTTTCGGCACTGGAAAAGGGTTTAAGGCCATAAATGAGGGTTTAGAAAGATCGAAAAGGGTTTAGGGCGATGAAAAAGAGTTTAATTCGATCAACAAGGGTTTAGGGTTTTGGTCCCTACAAAAGGGTTTAATAATTTAGTTGAAAAGGGTTAGGAAAGCAAAGAAGGCCAAATGTATAATAAGAAAATTTAAATGATGCAGGGGTTTAGGGTTTAGGGTTTAGGGTTTATATTTTTGGTGTATATAAAGAATGGAGAAGTGCCCAGGCTCCCTCCCCCACAGCGCAGCGCATCTGTGCCGTCACCGATTGCGTATCCAGGCTTTAGGGTTTAGGGTTTAGGGTTTAGGGTTTAGGGTTCAGGGTTTAGGGTTTGCGTGCAGGTTTTTGGAAAACGGGGGCAACGAAGGCGGCTACGTTTTGAAACCCCCTTTGCTGCGAAGTCCTTTGAGGCCTTTTGACGCTTTAAGAGAAATGCCCAGCGAGGCTGAGGCCCTTCACTTCACAATCAAAGTGACTAGGGTTTAGGGTTTAGGGTTTAGGGTTTGGGGTTTGGGGTTTTGGCTTTGGGGTTTAGGGTTGAGGGTTTAGGGTTGAGGGTTTAGGGTTTGGCGTCGGTTTGACGCTTTAAGAGATATGCCCAGCGAGGCTGAGGCCCTTCACTTCACAAAGTGGCTAGGGTTTAGGGTTTAGGGTTTAGGGTTTGGGGTGCTGCTGCAGCAGCAGCAGCTGCTGCTGCTGCTGCAAGCGTGGCTGCGAGCCAGCTGCCGCGGCCTCCGGGAACTTCTTTAAACAAATTAGCAGCAAGAAATAAAAGCCTCCACGCCCCCTTCATTTCCCTCTCCATTCACGGCGCTAGAAGTCTGCTGCTGCTGCTGCTGCTAGTGGTGCTGCTGCTGCTGCTAGTGGTGCTGCTGCTAGTGGGGCTCCTGCAGCTAGTGGTGCTGCTGGCGCTGCTGCTGCTGCTAGTGGCGCTACTGCTGATGCAGCTAGTGGTGCTGCTGCTGCTAGTGGTGCTGCTGCTGCTAGTGGTGCTGCTGCTGCTAGTGGTGCTGCTGTTGCTACTGGTGCTGCTGCTGCTACCGATGTTGCTGCTGTTGCTAGCAGTTTTGCTGCTGCTGCTGCTAGCTGTGTTGCTGCTCAGGTTCGTGTTGTTTCAGCTGCTGTGGTTGCTGCTGTTGCTACTGCTCTCGCTGCTGCGGTACTGCGGCTGCTGCTGCTGGTTATTGACGATGCTGCTGCCGCTGCTGTTACTTTTGCTGCTGCTGCTGCTGTAACTGCTTCTTTTGCTGCTGCTGGTGCTGCAGGAGACACTTGCAGCTTCCGGACCCGAGCAGTTTCGAACAACTGCTTCAACCCCAGGCAAGCCCCTGTGCTTCTGCGGCTACTGCTGCTGCTGTCGCCGCTGCTGCTGCTGCTGCTGCTGCTGGTGATGCATGCGGGTGGGTTGGGGTGTACGTACAGGTGGGGGGACGAAGACGCGACTTTCGAGTTTTTGGTTTTTAATTCTTCTTTAGCACTTTTATTATTTCGAGTTTACACCACAGACGTCAGGCCCTACCTTTTGTGCTTCTCCTGCATGCCTTTGGACGCCATTCGCCCGGGGTCAGCCGAGGGTTTAGGGTTTAGGGTTTAGGGTTTAGGGTTTGGGGTTTGGGGTTTCGGGTTTGGGGTTTGGGGTGGGGGCGCCAAGCGCGCAGGCGGGGTTCAGTTCGAGTAGGTGATTCTGTTTGGGGGCTTCTGTCTTATTGCTGAATCAGGGTTTAGGGTTTAGGGTTTAGGGTTTAGGGTTTAGGGTTTGTGGGGTGTACGGTCACCGCAGGCTGCGCTGGGTGCCGGTTTACGACACTCGTTTTCGTCTTTTGCGTTTTTCTGGAATTTTGGTTTTTGTGCGAATCATAAAAGTGCCCCAGCCAGGTGCGAGGGTTTAGGGTTTAGGGTTTAGGGTTTAGGGTTTAGAGCTAGGTCTTAATGATTATTGATTAGCGTTTAGCCTGTAGGGTGGGGGGTTTATGATCTAGGGTTTACGCTTCAGCACTCAGGTTGAGGGTTCAGGGTCTAGGGTTTAGGACTTGGGTCGAGGGTTTAGGGTTTAGGGTTTAGGGTTTAGAGTTTAGGGTTTAGGGTTTAGGGTTTGCGTGGGTGTGTGCAGCTGCTGCTTTCGGAGAAGGCAGCGGCGCGGGTCCTGTATCGGAGGTTTCTTTAAAAGGATAAAAAAAAATTGAAAAATAAATAAAATAAATAAATAAATAAATAAATAAATAAATAAATAAATAAATAAATAAAATAAAATAAATGGCTATTAAACCACCAAACGGGGGTTTTGCTGCTGCTCTCTCTGGGGCCTTTTAAAAGGTATATTTTGAAGCACTTAGGGGCCCTGCTGCTGCTGCTGCAGCAGCAGCAGCAACAGCAGCAGCAGCAGGTCTTCAGCTAATGGCATTGTTTGTATTCATTTGCATTTACTTTTATTTGCTTTTTACTGGTTTGTTCTTTGCTTGTAGAAACAATAGAGTCCGAATTAAATGCGAGTCAACAGTGCTGCGGCCGCTAAACCCTAAACCCTAAACCCTAAACCCTCACTCGGCGGAAACCCTAAACCCTAGGCAGAAGCAACTGCATGCTTGAGGGGCCTCCGGTGTACATACACCTGAAACTGCAGCACTGCAGCCGCAGTCGGGAGCCTCACCGAGCTGTTGCTGCTGCTGCTGCAGCAGCAGGTGCTGCTGCCGCAGAAGCAGGTGCTGCTGCCGCAGCAGCAGCAGCAGCAGCAGCAGCAAATGCAGCAGAAGGGACAAGTCGCTGCTGCTTGTTTTTGGTTCTTTTTCTTGATTTAGACTTTCTTTGCTTCTCAGTCACATTTGCACTGTTTACTATTTATTTAATTTAGTTTGCCACTCAAAGAACTAGCCTTGGGTCTAGGGTTTAGGGTTTAGGGTTTAGGGTTTAGTGTTTAGGGTTCAGGTAGGCCGTTCGTTGCCCAAGTGTGTGGTTAACCGATGGGACTTCTGAGGCCGTGTAGGCCTGCGACTTAGGGTTTAGGGTTTAGGGTCTAGGGTTTACAGTTTAGGGTTTAGGGTTTGAAGTTTAGGGTTTAGGGCCTAGGGCCCCAAGCGGGAGTTTGGTTTTAGGGTTTAGAGCTACGGTCTAGGGTTTAGGGTTTTGAGCCAGCGCTTGGGGTTTAGGGCTAATTGTTTTGGGTTTGGGGTTTAGTTTTAGGGTTTAGGGTTTGGGGTTTGTGGTTTAGGGTTAAGGGTTTACTGACTGAAGCAGCAGCGGTAGCAAAGCTGGCTGCAGCGGCTCAGGGTTTAAGGTTTAGGGTTTAGGGTTTAGGGTTTCGGCGGCACACACAGACGTAAATGACCAGTTTTTGAATTATTTTTTTTATTTTTTAAATTTAACTAAATATAAAAACAATTTAAAATAAAAACAAGAAGAGAACAGCAGCAAGCGCTCAGAGGCCCCGGCGAGACCACCGGCTCTCGGGGCCCCTGGGTTTAGGGTTGAGGGTTTAGGGTTTAGGGCTTAGGGTTTAGGGTTTAGGGTTTAGGGTTTGTTTTAAAAGCCCTTTCCACACTTTTCTTCCTTTTTTCTTTGAATCCTTAACGCTATTTGCTGTCTAATTCATCTGCTGCCGCTGCAGCAGCGTCGATTGCGACCGCTCGACGGAAACCCTAAACCGTAAACCCTAAACCCTAAACCCTAGATCCTGGGCCCTGAACCCTAAACCCTTGATTTCCAATTTATCTTCAGCTGCGGAAGCTTCTTTCTTCCTCTTTTTTCGTTCCCAGGCAGCGTTTTAATCAAAGCTGGGCTGCCGACTGGGACCGCCAAACCCTAAACCCTAAACCCTAAACCCTGAACCCTCGACCAATGGGGGATCCCCCAGAGGGAGTTCAGAGGAACTCCTGGGTGTCTCAGAGGCTGAGTTGGTTGGGCAGCATAGCTCAATGGGGCAACAGCTCTTCTCAGCAGCAGCAGCAGCAGCAGCAGCTGCAGCTGCAGCTGCAGCAGCAGCAACTGCTGCTGCAACAGCAGCTCGTGCAGCAGCAGCTGCAGAAAACGCTGCGCCCCCAAACCCTCTTACCCCAGGGGGCCCCCGGGGGGCCCCCCAGTGAAACTGCACCCTATTTGTCTTGGCCACTGGGCAGCAGCGATTCAGTTTCAAAGTCTTCAAGTCCAACAGCAGCAGTAGCAGCACCAGCAGCAGCAGCACCGGCAGCAGCAGCAACAGCAGCAGCAGCAGCAGGCAAGCAGCAGCAGCGCCGCAGCACGGTGAGGGTGGGGGGCAAAGGCCGCGCTGATGAGGGTTTAGGGTTTGAGGGTTTTGGGGTTTCGGAAATGAAAAACATTCACAAGTTTGTGTTGGACTTGAACAAGAAAGCAGCAGCAAAGCAGCACGAGACGCAGCAGCAGCAACAGCAGCAAACAGCTCCGCAGCAGCAGCAGCAGCAGCAGCAGCAGAAGCCGCACTTCTTTAACAGCCACCCTTGTGGGGTTTTAGTCTTCGGACATCTGCCTGAAACAGAGCCCGAGATTTCCGTCTCTGAGTCCCCCGTCATGAGTGCGTCGAGGGTTTAGGGTTTAGGGTTTAGGGTTTAGGGTTTAGGGCTAGGGGTTTAGGGTCTAGGGTTTAGGGCTGAGGGTTTTGGGTCTGGGTCTAAAGTCTGAGGGCTGAGGGTCGAAGGTCAAGGGTTTAGGGTTTACCGGCATCAAATCAAGTGAAATCATTTTAAACCCCAAGCCCTAAACCCTAAACCCTAAACCCTAAACCCTAGCGCTGGCTTCTTGTTTCTCCTCCCTGGTGCGAAGCGCAGCGCTTGGAGCTGGCGCCTCAGGCCAGCGTTAACCCTAAACCCTAACCCCTAGGCGCCAACCCCTAAACCCTAAACCCTAAACCCTAAACCCTAACTTGTGGTTTGCGTGCAGCAACAATTCGGGAGTCTATGGAGGCTCCTCTCTGTCCCTCCATAGAACTCGACTGCTTCTTCATGGCTGCTGTTGCTGCTGCTTGTCTCCGCCGCAAAGAAGATGAAAAGTATAATGAAACAATTATGATGAGCCATGTGCTGCAGGGTAAGCTGCTGCTGCTGCTGCTGCTGCTGCTGCTGCTTCTGGTGTGCTGCCTGTCCTCAGGGCGCTGCTGTCCTGCCGCTGTTGCTGCTGCTGCTGCTGTGCCGCTGCTGTGCTGCTGCTTTTGGCGTGCTGCTCATGGCGCTGCTTTGCCGCTGCTGCTGCTGCTCCTGCTGCTGCTGCTGCTGCTGCTGCTGCAGGGCGGGACCTGACGGAGTACGAGTGGCCTTCTTTGCGGCGATCTTTCGAGTCCGTTTTGTCTTCTTTTGCTTCTCAATTTAAAAGATTAAATGAAATGCTGGAGGAGACAATGAGCGGCAAACAAACGCCTTTGAAAAAAGCCATGCGCCGCGAGATCGAACTCCAAAAGTCAGGGCTTAGGGTTTAGGGTTTAGGGTTTAGGGTTTAAGGTATAGGGTTTAGGGTTTACGGTTTAGGGTTTAGGGTTTACGGTGCAGGGCTTAGGGTGTAGGGTTAAGTGTGTAGGGTTTAGGGTTAAGGGTTAAGGGTTAAGGGTTAAGGGTTAAGGGTTAAGGGTTTAGGGTTAAGGGTTTAGGGTGTAGGGTTTAGGGTTTGCGTGCAGGCTGGAGGTGCGGGAGTGTTTGCTGCGGCGAAGTCGCCGCTGGGTGTGTGGGGGCCCCCGCAGCAGCACTTGTGCTGCGCTGCAGCTAGCTAGCTGTTTCTATGAATGGCTAGCTGGCAGCACTTTCCGGACTTTGGCTAGCTTCGCCCACGGAGTTCCCGCCTACCAGTGCGAACAGCTAGCTAGCCAGCACCTCCTCGCCGCGTTCCAGCTAGCCAAGCGTGAGCCCCTCCCTAGCTAGCTAGCTAGCTAGCTAGCCGGCTAGCCAGCTAGCTACCTAGCCAGCTAGCTAGCTAGCTAGCCAGCTAGCCAGCTAGCTACCTAGCCAGCTAGCTAGCTAGCTAGCTGCCTCGGTGGATGGCTAGCTAGCTAGCAAGCTAGGGCCTGGCTGGTCGGCTAGCTGGCTATCTGGCTGGATAGCTGGCTGGCTGCCTGTCTGGCTGGCTAGCTAGCTAGCTAGCTAGCTAGCTAGCTAGCTAGCTAGCTAGCTTCTATCTAGCTGAGCAGTTTCCAGCCAATCTAAATTTGTGCCTACGCAGCTAGCTGGATCCCAACACAGCTAGCTATCTAGCTCAGGGCCTAGCTAAACAGATATTGAGCTAGCTAGCTAGCCAGCTAGCTCTTAAGCTGGCTAGTTATTTTGCTAGCTAGCTAGCTAAACTGTTTTTAGCTAGCTAGCACCCTAGCTAGCTAGCTAGCTAGCTAGCTAGGGCATCTTCGCCGCCAGTTGCACAGAGCTCTCAGCTGCTTCGGCCCCCAGCCCCCGTCCCCTAATTAAATTAATTAATTAATTAATTAATTAATTAATTAATCAATTAATTAATTAATTAATTAATTAACTAATTATTTATTTATTTTTTTATTATTTATTTATTTATTTATTATGTATTGTTGCAGAACGTCTGCCTGCGCACCACGCGCTGCGGCTGGAAGCAGCAGCAAGCTACAGTAGTTTGCTGCAGCAGCAAATGGGGCAGCAGCAAGAGGCGCTGCAGCTAGCCAGAGAAGCTTTTAGAGAAGCTGCTGCAGCACTTGAGGACTTGGAAGAAAAAGAATTCAAAGCAGCAGTTCAGGGTCTTCGGGGTTTGCTGCGGCTCATCAACTGGTGGGCCAGCGACACAAAACGCGTGCTTATTTCCCCCTAAACCCTAAACCCTAAACCCTAAACCCTAAACCCTAGGCCCTCGACGCCGAAGGGGCAGCACACGGACTTGCTCAGGGATGTTCGTTTCCAACAACTTTCCCCAATACGCGACACGCAACTCACCCGCTCGTTCCTACCCACAAACCCTAAACCCTAAACCCTAAACCCTAAACCCTAGGGTTAGGCCGTGGGCCCGGGGACCCGCACCCGGCTAGCGCCAGGTGCCGCCAAGGTAAACCCTAAACCCTTTTTTCTGTGGCGGATGCTCCTGGGTTTGAACAAACCCTAAACGCTTGCAAAGCCCTAAACCCTCGAGAAACCCTAAACCCTTCGTGGGGCCTCTCCACGCCTGCGGCTGCCGACCTGAAACCCTTTCCTTGCTCCAAATTCAGGGTTTAGGGTTTAGGGTTTAGGGTTCAGGGTTTGGGGTTTAGCTATCTGCTACTGCGTTTCTGCGGCTGAACTTCGAATCTCAAACCCTAATGACTTCATTTCTTGATGCTTTTTTTTGCGTTCCTACAAGCAAACGCCAAACCCTAAACCCTAAACCCTAATTTGTTCGCCCGCAGCAGGGCGCTTCAAACCCTAGTATTCAAACCTTAGGGTTATTTGGGAGTTCTGAGCTTAGGCCACGAGGTCAGAGGGTTTAGGGTTTAGGGTTTAGTTTCGAAAACCCTAAACCCTAGAGTCAAAAACCCTAAACCCCAATATATCGCGTCCGTCCCTTACAGGCAAGTGGAGAGTGACTGTTAGGCATACCCGTTTGCCCGCTAGGGTTTAGGGTTTAGGGTTTAGGGTTTAGGGTTTAGGGTATAGGGTTTAGGGTTTAGTGCACAAGCAGCCTCTTAGCAGCACAATTGATTTAACAGAACAATTAATATTTATTTGAAGTAAAAATTAATATATTTTAAATTAAAATGCATTTAAATTAAGATAATTAAAAAATAAATTATAAAAAATCAAAAACGACGGCGGCAGGATTCGAACCTGCGCGGGCAGAGCCCAGTAGATTTCTAGTCTACCTCCTTAACCACTCGGACACACCGCCAGGCCAGCCGCAGCCACTTCAAACGAGGGTTTAGGGTTCAGGGTTTAGGGCTTACGGTTTGGGGTTTGGGGATTAGGGTTTAGGGTTTAGAGTTTGATGTAGGATCTCGGGGCATACTCGAGACTTTGCACGCTCTTGGGGTTTAGGGTTTAGGGTTCAGGGTTTAGGGTTTAGGGTTTGCACAGGGCGTCTTAGGAGACTCTAGGGTTTGGGGTTTAGGGTTTAGGCTTTACAGTGTAGAGTTTAGGATTCGGGGCTTGAAGGGTGTAGGGTTTAGGGTTTACAGGGTTAAGGGTTTAGGGTTTACATACTTTAGCCATTAGGGTTTAGAAGGCGTAGGGTTTGGGGTTTAGATCCAGGCTTGTATTGGGTCCGGAGTTTCAACTAAGATCGGAAAAGAAAGATTGAGGGTTTAGGGTTTAGGGTTTGGGGTTTAGGCTCAAAGACAAATATTTATTTTTTTATTTAGGGTTTAAAATTGTGGCCGGCAGAGAGCTGCTGCTGCATGCAGCTGGTGCTGGACTGTGGCAGTTTATCTGTGAGGGTTTACTGAGGGTTTAGGGTTTAGGGTTTAGGGTTTGCGTTACAAAAGAATGAAAGACAAGGAAATGCAGTCAGCAGGTGTCCGCACACGCCAAAACCGCTTGCACACAGGTCTCAAAATGTACCCCTAAACTCTAAACCCTAAACCCTAAACCCTAGCCAGTGAGCAGCCTAGGGCCACACTAGGAAAAAACGGAATTTGTCCTTCAAAGGATTTAATTGATGAAATACAAAAGAGTAAAAGATCAGTTCTTCAGTTTATATAATCTCCCGCAGCAGCAGCAGCAGCAGCTGCAGCAGCAGCAAAAGGACTCCAAAATGAATTCTTCCAATTCTTTTTTCAAAAGCGACGGCGGCAGGATTCGAACCTGCGCGGGCAGAGCCCAGTAGATTTCTAGTCTACCTCCTTAACCACTCGGACACACCGCCAGGCCCGCTGCAGCCACTTCAAACGAGGGTTTAGGGTTTAGGCTTTAGGGTTTAGGGCTTAGGGTTTGGGGTTTGGGCTTGAGAGCGCCGCTGAACGCCGGTCTTAGAGTTGTCTTCAGGTGGAGGGTTTAGGGTTTTCGGTTTATTGCTTAGGGTTTAGGGTTTAGGGTTTAAGTGGTTGAGTCTTCCTGCTGCAGTCACGCGGTGTACATACACCTGAACAAGTACCTGCAGCGCGTTAGAATCATTTAATTGCGAAATAAAATTAAATTTGAAGTAAACTTTAAAAATAAATAAATAAACAACTCGTTTCAGCTTCAGGGCGCGGCAACTCCCAAACCCTAAACCCTAAACCCTAAATCCTCGTTTGAAGTGGCTGCAGCGGGCCTGGCGGTGTGTCCGAGTGGTTAAGGAGGTAGACTAGAAATCTACTGGGCTCTGCCCGCGCAGGTTCGAATCCTGCCGCCGTCGTTTTTGGAAAAAGATTTTAAAAAATGTAAGAGAGAGATGAAAAAGCAGCAGCAGCAGCAGCAGCAGCTGCAGCAGCTGCAGTACCGGCAGTAGCAGCAGTAGCCAGCACAACGAGCTGCAGGTGGTGGCGGATGCAGCTGACGCTCCAGGTGCAGCAGCTATAGCAGCAGCCACAGCAGCAGCAGCAGCTACAGCAACAGCCGCAGCGGCAGCAGCAACACCTGCTTCTGCTGCTGCAGCACCAACTATTGCAGCTGCTTCCTTGCTGCTGCTGCAGTACAATGAAAATTTAAAGGCAGCAAATAAAGGAGAATAGTGCTTGCGGGTGTGCATATGTTTCTTCTTCACTTCCATTAAAACCCGAGCCAGGAAAAACCCCAAACCCTAAACCCTAAACCCTAAACCCTGAAAAACCAGCCCCAGCAGACACCCTCAAGCTCAGAGCTCAACCCGTAAACCCTAAACCCTAAATCGTGGTTGGTCCAAATAAATGGTCCATCACCTTAAACCCTAACCCCCAAACCCTAAACCCTGAACACCCAGACTTAAACCCAAAACGCCACGACATAAACCCCAAGACCTAAACCCTAAACCCTAAACCCTAATCCCTGCTGAGACCTGATACTGACCTCATCCGTATCTCCTGTAAAAACAAAGCAAAATAAACGCACACACCCCAAATGGGGAAACCCTAAACCCTAAACCCTAAACCCTAAACCCCAAACCTTAAACCTTAGACCCATCAATTTTCTTCTGAGTAACTCCCGAGTAAACTGGAAAACAACTAAAAGTGTTTTAATTTCGAAGAACGTTTCTTTTTAAATTCAAAAATAAAAAAAGAATTAAAGAAATTAAAAAAGCTGGTCCACTTGTGGCGGTGTGTCCGAGTGGTTAAGGAGGTAGACTAGAAATCTACTGGGCTCTGCCCGCGCAGGTTCGAATCCTGCCGCCGTCGGTCTGGAGTTTTCAACCCTCAAAAAGGGTTTTTAAATTATTTATTTAATTGTTTGCAAATGAATTCCAATAAATTCAGTTTCCATCTTTTTAAACCGCTTAATTAGCCTCATTGGAAGCTGCAGCAGCAGCAGCAGCAGCTGCAGCTGCTGCTGCTGCTGCGGCGGCTGCAGGCAACCTGTCGGCGGCGGCAGCAGCAGCGGCGGGGCCCCACAGCTGCGGAGCGGTTCTAAATAGGTAAAACGCATGCAAAAGAAGTAAATTAAAAAGTGTAAAAGATAAAAAAGAATTAAAAATGGAAAATAAAAAAGCAATTAAACGAAAGCGACGGCGGCAGGATTCGAACCTGCGCGGGCAGAGCCCAGTAGATTTCTAGTCTACCTCCTTAACCACTCGGACACACCGCCATGACGGCCCCGCTTTATTTGAACTCATTTTTGAAGAGTTTGAATTAAATTAATTATTTAATTTGTTTTAATAAAATAGAAAAATAAATAAATCCTTTTTTGCTGCCGGAGTTCAAATTCAAATTCGCCGGCGGGTTCTGCAGGCGCTCCGCGCTGCATGCACGGGGTGTATGTGCAGCTCGTCGAATGGCAGATCGA